ACCCAAATACCAGTCACAAAAACTACAAGCGAACTGTTAACAATTAGCACCCATCTAGGCCTATTCAATTTTAATAGACTTCCCACCCTCACTCTATCTTGTTATGCTTCCGCTTATGGTTTAGAAGCCATTCTATCACATCTATGGGATAACAAAATCGAAAAACCTATAGCCTATGCTTCCCGAACGTTATCAAAGGCCGAAATCAACTATTCCACCGTAGAGAAAGAAGCCTTGGCCATAGTTTTTGCCGTTAAGAGATTCGGACAATTCCTACTAGGAAGACAATTCATCATAAACACAGACCATAAGCCCCTACTAGCCATATACGGGAAAAAAATTGGGATCCCAACCATGACTTCCGCAAGATTACAACGATGGGGAGTAACATTATCGGGCTTCAATTTCAACATCCATTACAAAACAGGGCCCACAAATATGAATGCCGACGCCCTTTCCCGACTACCGCTCCCTAACATCGACCATCAAGACGAAACCGAGGTAAACCAAATTCTACAGACCCGTATTAAAGACCTACCCTTCATTAGAGATAAAATAGAATACATAACCATGCAAGACCCAGAATTATCACAGATCAAAGAAAATATACGAAATGGCTGGCCCCCCAAGATAACAACCACCGAATTACAAGAATATTGGAACATAAAAGATGAATTGTCAATAGACGGGGAGATAATTATCCGGGCTGTTAATCATTCCCAAAACCTTACGACCCGCTATCTTACAAGAGATTCATAGTGGACACCCGGGAATTGTTCGAATGAAGGAAACCGCGAGGATTTATGTCTGGTGGCCCCGATTAAATAAGGATATCACAAAAATCAGTGAAATGTGCAACCGTTGTCAACTATTCAAAGAAAACTTCCCCCAGATATTACTACACCACTGGCCCGTCGCCCGCACAGTGGGAGAAATGGTACACGTCGACCTCGCTGTACCCATACATCAATTACATTGGCTAATTCCAGTAGATGCCTATTCCAAATGGCCAGAAATCGCCCGCTTGAATAACATAACCGCGTTAGAATGCATTTTTAATCACCTAGGCTATCCGCGAAACCTCATAACCGACAACGGACCCCAGTTTGTCAGCCATGAATTTAACCAATATTGTGACCGCCATGGAATAACGCATATCTACACCCTCCCCGTACTCCCCCCAAAGTAATGGAATAGCGGAACGATTCGTACGAACCTTTAAAAATGCTATAAGCACATATAGACGACCCATTCTCTAACAAACCTGGAAGTTCTCACTTTATTCGCCAACCGATCGAATCGCCCATCCCCAACTGTGTCAAAGCCACCAAAGATCCCAACGAGGAGGAAGAAGCCCAAGTACTCTCATTTCTCCAACCCAACGTACCAGACAAAACGACTGCGTACAAACAGACTCAACAAATTTCAAATAACCCACAAGATCTCTTGGACCTACCACCAGGGGGTAGCCCAATTTAAGCGGGGAGGAGAATGCCGTATTTCCACAAAAACACCTTTTTTTTTTTAAACATTGTATTTATATATATTGATTTTTTTTATGTGGTCATCCACCTGTTACAAATCCTTTTTTTTTATATGTCCTCCACGTGTTTTCAAAGTTTAGTCGTAATTAAATCCGCTCTAAACCAGCGGTGCGGCGAATGCCGTTTTATTTATTTTATTGACTTAAGGTAGGATCTACCTTCGTTATTAAATCCACTCTAAGCCAGCGGTACGGCGAATGGCGTTTTATTTATTTTATTGACTTAAGGTAGGATCTACCTTCGTTATAAAATCCGCTCTAAACCAGCGGTGCTGCGAATGCCGTCTTGGTTTATTTTTGTAGGAATTTAAAATGAAATCGGCGCCGACGGCCGGGTAGCCGTATTTAAGAGGGGAGGAGTGTTATGTTCTACCTCCCCCCCTCTTGTCTCATATAACTTATTTCTTTTCTTTAAGTTTTTCTCCACTTGTTTCTTCTGTTTTCCCATCGTCCTTTTTTTTATATTGATATTATACCTTATTTTTATATTGTATTTGAAACTGGTTCTGACCAGTTTCAAGAATGATTGTATCGCGATATTATATTACAACATGTTATTTTTTTTCTTTGTTTTATAAATTATAAAAGGTTGCAAAAATACCTTGATTATGCATTCTTTTAATTATTTTACTGAATTTATTTTGTGTTAAATAAAATTCTGAAAGTTTTATTCTTTGGAATATTGTGATATTTTAACAATAAATTAAATTACTAAAATTACCCGATGATGACTAAGTTAAAACTCAACGTCAACCTACCAGAAAATCCCGGTCCCTCGAACTGCCGATCCCTCTCCTTATCCCCCGGTAGAACAGCCCGCGGTCGTGGCCGCGAACTTATCACTAGAGGTTGATATATTTGTGTTAGGACATAATCTACATTTACAAAGTGTCGATTTTTAACCTTAATTTTCTTTATTGGAATAAAATATGTCTCAAATTGAGGCCATGGAAGGGTTATTTCTTCATCAGAAGAATTATAGAGTTTGACATATATTCTTAAAATAAATTATAATATAGAATAATAATATTAATATATACTTTGAATTTTGATTGAATATTAGTTAGATTAAAATTTGATTGAAAATAACGAGCGAAAATTTAAATAAGAATGAAAGGAATGGTGGTTGATATGAATTAAAAACTCGGTTTAATATTTATATTAAAAATAAATAAAAGTAATTTTATAGCACAATAAAATATGTTTTTTTATTAATATTATTTTAAAAAAAAATTTAAAGTAACGAGTAACGTTTTGCGTTACCGTTACCCAAAAAAAAGAAAGCGTTACCGTTACTCGTTACTTCTAGAAAAAGGTAACGTATGACGTTCCTTTTCTTCAAAAAAAGGTAACGACGTTAGTAATCGTTACTTTTTTGACGTTACCGTACAGCACTAATTAATACTATATGTGATAAGTCATTCAATTTCCTATATTTTTTTTATGTTTGCATGTATTAGTGTAAATCTTGTTTTATACTGAAGAATAAATATCAAAATAATGAATTATTAATTTTTTCAATTATATATTTAAAATTTAATAAAAGTAAACTTTTTAAAAAAATTGTGGCACAAATTATAATTATCCTCATTATTTTTAATCTAAGCATAATTTTTTTTTTTTTTTTTTTCTCTTTAGCTTTCACCTTTTCTGGTGGTAAGCTCCTTCAACATCTCTCTCCACTTTATGTTATTCGTACAATCTCTTTTATCTATTTTATACTTCTTTATATTGGCTCTAACTTTATGGCCCCATTGAAGTTTTGGCCTTCCTCTTTTACGTTTGCCCATCACTTCCAATCTTTCAACTTTTTTTCCTATTTAGTTCATAGGCCTTCTCATTGTGTGCCCATACCACCTAAGTCTGTTTACCATTAACTTAGTCTTAATGGGCACTACCTTTAAACTATTTAGTATTCTTGTACTGCGCACCTTATCCTTTCTTGTTACCACAGCAATCATCCTCAGCATTCTCATCTCCATAGTTTGTAGACTTCTCTCGTCTGATTCTTTGGTTGGCCATGTTTCCGAACTATATAGAATAGTTGGTTGTACTATGGAACTGTGAATTTTTCCTTTTAATTTGTGTGGGATTCTTTTGTCAAATAGCACTCCAGATAAAGATCTCCACTTTAACCACCCTTGATTAATCTTATTCTTTATCTCTTTTTCTATTGTGCCGTTTGTTTGTATAGTGGAGCCCAAATATTTGCAGCTTTCAATTGCGGATATCTGCCAATCATTTATATCAATACTCTCCGTTTCATCTCCTCCTATCACCATATACTCCGTCTTTTCTCTATTTACTTTTAATCCGTGCGTTTCTAGGATATTTATCCAATTCACTAACCTTTCTTTCATTTCATCCTTGGATTCGGCAAGTATCACAATATCATCTGCAAATATCATATTCCACGGGACTGTTTGAGGTATAGACTGTGCTAATACATCTATTACTGTAATGAAGAGAAGTGGGCTGAGAGCCGACCCTTGATGAACTCCTTCGGCTATTGTGAAGCCTGCTGAAGTACCTGTTGTGCTACGGACCATTGTTGTATGTCCCATATACATATCCTCTATTATTCTTATATATTTTTCGGGAACTTTTTTGTGGCGTAGCGCCCACCAGATAAGTTTTCTTGGGATTCTATCGAAGGCCTTTTCTAGATCGAGAAAGACCATGTCTAGCTTTTTGTTCTTTTCCCTGTATTTTTCACTCATTTGCCTAATTGCATGGATAGCATCGGTTGTTGATCTTCCAGGCATAAAGCCAAACTGTGTCTCTCCTATTTCGATTATATCTCTTAATCTTTTTTCTATTATTTTTTCGTATAGTTTTAGACAGTGTGACATTAGTTTTATGCCCCTGTAATTTTGACAATTGTGTGGATCCCCTTTATTTTTGAAGATAGGAACTAGATAGCTCTGCCTCCATTTTTGGGGGACCTCTTCATTTCCAAGTATTTTATTGTACAGATTTGTGAGGAGATGTATTCCATCATCTCCTAGTGCTTTAAGGCTTTCTATTGGAATATCGTCTGGACCCCTAGCTTTGTTGTTTTTCATATGTTTGAGGCATGTGATTATTTCTTGTTCTGTTATAGGTTGTACAAGGTTTTGACAAGGGGAGTGTTCGTCGAGATGCAATATGTGGGAATTAAAGTTGAGAAGCTCCTGAAAATAATCTAAGCATAATAAATTAAAATAAATAAATATTTTATCAAGTTTAAGGTTTGTTCTATCTTATATCCAAATATTAAACCAAAATATTAAATACAAAAGGAGATATATACATTTGAAATTGGGGTCTATTAAACCCCACCATAGTACTAACGTCATTTTTCTCACCGGAATGTTGAAGGATTAATTGATCAGCAACTAATCAACAATTTTTAATGTTGTCAACTTTCTTGACTTCTCTCATCTTTGACAGATTTCAATATTTGACGTTATCTAGTGTTCTCTATTATGGAAGCTTCAGAATAATTTCAGAAATGAAGAAGAAATTTCATAATTTATATCAAAATAATCGAGCTTTAAAATTAAGTAATATGTTTTTAATATTCTAATATTTATTATTACATATTTTTGATTATATTTTTATAATTGTTTTTTTAAATTTTTGAACAAATATATAGGTTTTGACCAAAGTTCTATTTATACTATACTAAACGGACTAAATTTAGATGAAAATTTTCAAAAAAATGATCATATTGAGTCATTAAAAATTATTTTTATAAATGAACATAATGATTTAGTTTATCAATATTCCTCACATATTTTAAAACTTCTATCTGATATGTTCTTTGAAAAACAAGGATTAGAATTTCGCAAACAAATAATATGCCTATTAAGTCTGTTTGGATTAAAGATCGAGATACATAATAAAAATTTTGAACCTTATAAGGATTATCCATCAAATTTATATCTTAAATGGATGTTTAATAAACTAAGTTCAAATTCAAATGACGAAAAGAAAATTGTTATACTCTCTACTCTTTCCCAAATTGTTGATTATAATTATTACATTAATAATAATACTATCATAATTATATTTGACCAAATATTCATAAATGAAAATCTATTAAAGTTATATAGTGACACACAATCAGAAAATATATTCATTACTTCATCACATATTATCAATTCTTTAATAAAAGTTAATGGTGAAAATATAAATTTATACATGAGTGATATCTTAGACCTAATAATCGGGTGGAATTTAGATTCATCAAAACATATTCATTTATTATTGTCAGAAATATATAAAGATGAGTCATATGTTGGAAAAAATAATTATGAAATTAAACTTAACATAATTAAATTTATGTTATGTAACCTCGAATATATATCACAATCCTTTAAATTTGTGAATTATGATATTATAGAGTTTATATACAACTTATTGTCACAATTTATAGAAGATATTGAATTATTGTTTAATGACATAATTAATATATTTGAATCATTCTGTGATAATATGACTCTGATGGATTTTAAAAATGCTCATACCATATTATATCAAAAAAATGGAAAAATTCAAACTTTATTGAGGTGAAAATTATATTTTAAAATTAATTATAAAATTTTATAGACTATATGTTACCAATTTGTATACAATACAGCAACAAAGCCAAGAGTCAAATTTGAATATCACAATTTACTCAAAAATTCAAATGCACATTAAATTTTTTTTAAGTTTTTATCAAAAATTGTCTAATATACAATATATGCAACCAACTCTTTATAGAGGTATTATATATATTTATCTAAATATTTTATCTGACTCATGGAAATATATTTTAGTTAACAGCATAATATATTTATGGTTAAATATTGTTGGTGATCAAGGATTTTTTGTTATATGGCCTTTAATTCATGGTTATATCAAGAAGTCACCTGAATGGGTGAGGATTGAAGATCTGTTTGACAAATGTGATCACCATAATACATTTTTTGTCGATTTTAAATTTATAAATATTCTTAATTTGATATCAGTATGCTTAGAAAATTTTGGAGAGTTTTTAGTATCTACTGAATTTTTTAAGCACTTACTTAAGACTTTTAACTGGATATTTATATCTGCCAATGCTGAAATCATATTTAATGTTCATACACTGCCTTTTAAATCATACTCAATATATGTGGGAGATAATATCTTTTATCAAACTAAGTTTTCAATATATAGTTATAAATATCAGCCAAATTACTATGTAAAAGCCATAGTTCATTTTTATATAGTTATAATCTTACATATTGATCAATATGCTCAGGATATCTCTGCAAAAACTCTAAAGTAAAAAAAATAATTATGTAAAACACATATAAATTTTAATATATATTCAGATACATTATACATAATGTGATACAACTTACCAAAAAAATTAACCAATCATTTTGCAATAATCTTTATAAATGGTTGATTAGTCTGCTCATACTTACTTCTCTTTTTAAGGACTATGAAATCATGTGCCAAAAAAATCAAAAAAATAATACAGCCCTTATAATTTGTTTTGACCAGATGATTGAATTATATTTTACAGTGTCTCTTAAAATTTCAAATCTCTCTAAAATCAACATAAAACCAACTCCTGAATGGGAGCTTTTAATGTACAACATGGTACTCTCATTAGATATAATTTGGAAAAGGTTAGTATATAATATTGTTGTATAGATTCAAACTAGGGCTGTGCTGATCCACAAATTTTTTATATTTATTTTCCAATATTATAAAACTGATCTGATAATAACCAATATGATATCTATAATGATTTTTATTTACCATCTATTTCTAAATTATTGTCATGAAAAAATAGAATATTTTCTATATAAAAAAACCAATTACTTTCACGAATGATTAAGTGTATTTTTTTTAAATTTTTTGTTGTTTAAAAATGAATCATCTCATTTTAGATGTGGACAATGCTTTTAGTGTTAGATGGCTAATGGCTAAATTATGGGTTAGAATATTATCCGAGCTTTAAAATTTAGCCAGTAGATATCCAAAATTTTCTCTCTTCAACCTCGGGTAATTAATTTTTGAAATCGTGAGTCAGCCGTTTTTAAAAATCATGCGAAATTGAGCTGGTTAATAAAAAAGCTAATGTGACTTGTATTTTAAAATCCTTTTCTTGTGGTAGGTGATATTAAAAAAATTTATATAATTTTTTTAAACATTACAAGTAAATTGTATTTTGGTTCCTTTTTATTAATTTATTATTATCAATTATGTTTACACTGAATCGTTTTTTTAAAATATTGGCCAGATCTGATATTTTTTATATCAGCATAGCCCTAATACAAATTACACTTATTTTCATATAATTTTAAAAAATATAATTACTTTGTGTTATTCACATTATTCTTGCCTTGAATTATATTTATATACCTATTTCATAGAATTAATATAAACTAAAAAAATATTTATCAAAGTCAATTAAAATATTTGTGAATAAAAAAAATGATTAATAAAATTTAATGGAACTATGATCAATGCTAACTCAACTATAAACAAAATGATAATTTAGACCTATAATGCCTATTAGTGATCTGCATCGAGCCTAATTTTTCAAGTCCGGCCCAGCCCAAAATTATTTTTAAAAAAGTTTTGCCGGACCGGCCCCAATCCAAAATTTTTTTAAATAGATTTGCTGGCCCGGCCTGAATCCGAAATTTTTTTTGAAAAATTTACCTGCCCAGCCCGAATTTATTTAAATATATAGATTAATTTTTATAATTACTCAAAATAAAAGACATTGTTATATGGCGTTTAGTTTCAAATAAATAAAATCTAAAATTTTTATTTTACATAAAAAATTCTATATAAAATTGATAAATTTCGATATATTTAAAAAAATTTCCAAAATCCTACCCGACCCGGCCCGAATTTTTTTTAAAAATATTAGGCACGACCCGGCCAGAACCCGATTATTTTTAATAGAATTAGGCCCGCCGGACTCGGGCCGGATACTGGTCGGGCCTATGTAGATCTCTAATGCCTATTATACAAATAATTTCTTTTTAGTTTTTTGCTACAAAAACTAAATAAATATGATAATTTTTACAAATTTAATTCGTATTTGTAAACTGGAGTCTTTCTTTTTCCTTCAAAATCTTGGGTTCGAGTTCAGATTTTGGGGAAAATTATTTGAATTCAATTTTTTTTAATAAGAGATATTGATGGATCTCTTCTCCCCATTTGGAAAATCCTATGAGGTTGGGAAATAGAGATTTCAGGATTTATATCTGCAATATTTGTCGAGGGAGAGGAATTTAAACATATGGTTGTTTCACTTTCATTTTAGCTAAATTTATTTGACCTGATCTACATTTTTAGTGTTGATTAGTCGTAGTCAAGCAAATCGACTAAAAACTTTAGCGGGTCGATTAATTTCGGGTCATTCCATATCAAATCAATCACTTTACAACCCAACTACTCAGATTTTGCTAAAATGTAGTATATAAGTTAATGAAGTGTTTTAATTGAAAAATATTAGCCCCTTACCTCTACTAGAACCGGAGATATAGGGTCACAAAGTGGCTTAGCTTGGTCATTTTTCGAAAAAAATGATTTTTTTAAAATTGGGATAACCTTAATATTAGATGACTATATATATCTATCATGGCTCATTTTGTCCTAAGTAAACTCTTCCAAGTATTTTGAATAAAATTAATTTTAAATTTATAAAATTTTTTAAAATTGCGGTTAAATATTTGTAATTAATTTTTTTAAATGTTAGTATAAATTTTTTTTTCCAAATTTCAGATATTTTGTAATATAAAAATTTTCAAAATGGCAAAAAAAAATTAAGTAGAAAAAATAATTAAAATAAAAATACCGCTAGATGGCGTTAATAATTTTAAATAGCCTAAAACTTAATTTTTGAAAATATAAGGCAATTTACCTTTTTTTATATTCCATAATATAATATATGTTAAATAAAATCTCATTTTGGCATAAAATTAAAATTTCCGGTAGATAGCGCAGGTAATTTTTAAAAAATAGCTAATTATGATTTAAATTTCGATTTATCGATTCATTTTCCCAATAAATTTATCAATTCCAGTTACCAATTTGTACAGAAATTTATCGATTTTTAATTAATTAATATATTTAAATTTGAATATCATGATATTGATATGTAAAAATCCTTTAAAAACATTTATCAAAGAAGGGATTACGCAAAGTAAATTGCTGGATGACCGAATTTGTCAAAATCAATATTGGCGATTATATCTTTGTTTCATGCTGCTTAACTTTATTATAAATATAAAGATATTTGTAGATAAAACAAGTCTTGAGACATTAACGCAAATAGCTGACGAATTTCTTATTTACTTATTTGAAAAAATATTTATTTTGATGCGCCATGCTTTTATTAGTGAAGAGCAAAACAAATTCCACCAGAATCTTAAAAACAATTTAAAGCAAGATCATTATTTGGTAATATGTGATTTTTCTGAAAATTACTCTTTCATACTTCATGATGAAGTACAGAGTTACCACTGGGCCACTTCTCAGGTCACTCTAGATCCCTTTGTAATATATAACAAAGTTAATAATTCATTGAATCATATAAGTTTGATTGCGATATCCGAGTCGCTGGAACATAATACCTGCTTACTTCATTTATTTAAAAAAAATTAATAAACTTTTTAATAAATTACTTTTTATCAGAGTCTAAATACATTTATTATTATTCAGATGGGTCCACCGCCCAATATAAAAACAGGAAAAATTTTATAAATTTGTGTTATCATCAAGTAGACTTCTATATCCCATCAGAATGACATTTCTTTGCTATTTGCGCATGGGAAAGTGCTTGCGATGGAATAGGGGGACTGCGAAACGCTTGGCTGCACGGGCCAGTTAACAACAACCTTATGAAAATCAAATAAAAGTGATTTCTTCAAATTCGCCAAGGAAAATATAAAAAATATTCATTTTTCTTATATGAAGAATACCACGAGGAGAAAGAATTTTTAAAGGATTAGTTTTCAAAAGCTCTTTTCACTCCTGGAACTCAAAAAATTTATGCAGTTTATCCTGTTAGCTTATAAAATAATTACTAAAAAATATTTCAGTGTTGTTCAAACCACACCACATTCAAAATCGAATAGGCGAGATATCAACCAATGATATAAAAGGATATGTAACATGATTTTATGATAATGAATGATATCCTATATTCTAGCGATTATTAGTGCTGATGAGGTAAAGGTAATATTTTTACACCATAATAGACCTTCTAATTCCTTTATTATCCTTCAATACCTGAAATTCATATTCTTTCGAAAAATGATATTCTAACTGTCGTCAACCTTTTGATCATTACAGGAAGAACTTATAATTTAACTCGTGAAGAATCCGAAATGGCCATATACAAATTTAATTTAATCAATATAACTAAGCTTCTATGCTATAAGAATTTTACTATGAATTAATTCAATAAATATTATCGAATAAATAAAAACATCTACTGACATATTTTAAAAAAATGAGGTTTTTAGTTATTTTAAATTATTTGCGTTATCTGGCGGAAATTTTATTTTTGTGCCAAAATGCGATTTTATTCAACAAATATTGTATCAATGAATATAAAAAAAGGTTGATTGATTAATATTTTAAAAAATTAAGTTTCAAACTATTAAATTAAAGCTATCTAGCGGTATTTTTATTTTAAGCATTTTTCCTACCTAACTTTTCTTTTACCACTCTTAAAATTTTTATATGAACAGTTCTTGGTACTCTTTACAAAATATCTGAAATTTAGAAAAAAAAAATTTATACTAACATTTAAAAAAATTTATTACCAATTTTTGAACGCAATTTTAAAAAAATTTATAAATTAAAAATTTTTATTTTAAATACGTGGAAGAGTTTACTTAGGGCTATAAAATGAGCCATGATAGTGCATCTAATATTAAAATTAACTCAATTTTAAAAAATAATTTTTTTCAAAAAATGACCAAGAATAGCCACTTTGAGACCCTATATCTCCGGTTCTAGTAGAGTTAAGGGGATAATATTTTGGATTCATCAATCACAACACTTTATTAACTTGTATACCAAATTTTAGGAACATCTGAGATGGTCGAGTTGGACACTTTCGTAGATTTGCTTATTATTTTATTTATTTTATTTTTGAATTTGTTTATTTTTAGCGCCTGGCTAGCACTAAATTTAATATTTTGTATATTTTTTAAAATTATTATTTTATTAATAGAAAATTATGAATATTTTTTAAACTGTACTATAATAAATATAATAAAAAACAAATGAAATTAATAATTTTAGTCGTAGTCGACTAATCGCAAATTTAATGGCTAAAGTTTTTAGTCAAATATTTCGACTATAACTATTAGTTAGTCTGTTAGTTGACTAAATTTAGTCGATTATCATACATTTGTATTAAAAAAATGGTTTTATAGATCACCATTCACTTGTTTATTTCAAGTAAATTAAAATGATTTTTCAGTAATTGCCTTCCAACTCTATATGCCATTTAATTTAACATCTAACTTCAAAATTTTCTTTTTACTTTAATAGGACCAGCTTGTCAACATAATTTTTCAAGTATACATATTCCCTTCCTCTGATAGCAACCTACGTTTATGACTGAATAAATTTTAAATCACATTTATTTCGGCTTTCATATTTATTGTGAACGGATAATTTTTTTTGTAATTTGACGACGATATTATCATTTTAACATTATTCCTTATATTTGAATGTTCTGTTTGTATTAAATTGTTAAAGCATGCCCTCTACCTCCCAGTAAATCATGAAACTGATACTCTCTAGGGGTATTTATTTATAGGAGTCATAAATTCCTCAAATTCATAACTCCCTTGACGCCATTAATCCCTAAAAAATGAGGCCATTAAAAATTTCAAAGGATCTGATGGGTGGGGTAGCATTTGTCCCCATATATTTTTCAGGGGACATGGTGTAAGAAATATTTTATATCCTTCAGTGGGACATTGGGGTAGATATATTTTGGGGGTATAGGAGTAAATTTTGACGTGTTACCTCAAATTTTTCACCATGAATTGTGCCGGCCGACTCTTTCATTTCCGATAATTATTTTTATAAAGATTATATATGCTAAAGTTAGAACAGAAACCAAATTATCTTGCTAGCTTCTATATTCCTTGAGATATTAAGGATTAATTAAGAAAATAAGTCTACTTCTTTCATACTTAAATAGTTATTAATTAAAACTAAATTAATATGAATATTAATTTTAATACTCATAATTATCTAAAGATTGATAATTTGGGGGGAAAACCAAAATGGAAATTTCATCTTTTGTTTAGTAAAAAGCTTGAACTAAATTTTTATATTACAATTTTCTAAAGTTATTCCTCTCTGTTTATTAACTAATAAATGATTTTTAAAGCTTTTAATAATTTGCGTGGAAAACAGAAAAATTAACGTAAATCAATAAAAATAAAGATGGCGTATTAATTTTTTTTTTCAATCTAAATAATATTTTATATTATCAAAAATATATTATTGTCTTATTGAAATTTTTTAAAAAATTTATATTTCATTAATATATTAATATGTAGCGCCATCTTTATTTTAGCCATATTATTTGCATTAATTTTTATATTTGTTTGCCCCACAATTATTGCTAATATGCCAAGATAATAATAATATGATAAGATCATGCTATCATTGTAATCATTATCATTTTATTCTAAGTTGTTCAGCATATAGGAAAAAGCGCTACATTAATTTATATATTTCATGTTAGATCTTTACTATTTAATATTTTTCTCTAAATATATAGTCAAGGAGATTTCTTAGCCCAACATTTAAACAACCAATACAAATGCGCAAAACGAACACTACAAATATATGACCATATTTTCGGAGCTTTCGCGGTTAATAAAATTCGGTAAAAAGAAAAATCTTTCTTTTAATATACTATTTTTTATTATTTTTAATTTAGGCTTGTCTCAGGTAGGTATTAAACAGTCATTTAAACATTATTTATTATAACGCCGTTACTTTAAAATAGGAAAAGTAACGTCATTAGTTACCCTCAAAAAATTAACGTCGTTACTTTTAAAATAAAATAATATAGCAGATTTTAATATTTATTTCTTCAAGATCATTTGTATAAATGGCTATAAAATACAATATCATGACTGAAAAATATAGCTATCATATGTATAAAAATTTAAAATTTATAATAATTATATTAAAATGTATTTTCTAACCATTCTTTTATTTATTTTTAACAATTGCTTTTTATTATTTTAATCATTAAACAGGAACTTTTATCACTTAACACAGTTTTAGCTGTGCTAAAAACACGTTCAACTGGACTTATGATGGAATAAAAAAATATATTTTATTGTGGTGATTCGTTAAAAATACTCAAGGAATTATTTTTACCTTCTAAAAATTTAATTAATTCTTCATAAAATTTGTATAATTATATATTTTTTTTTAGTAATTAATAATTTTTAATTGATTATATTTATTAGAATTAAAATAACTCATTTAAAATTAAATTAATATTTAAATTGGAAAAGATAATATATAAAATAACATAATATAATTTTGGACAATATCCCAAGTTAACAATAGTTATTGAGAAAATTTAATCATTTTTATTGAATACCTGTCAAATCTGGCAGATCTTGTCATCTAAGATAAACTAATAGAAATAAGAAATTAGCTATGGTAACAGCATTTTCCTTCCTTTGAATTTATTCATATATCATGATTTTGTATTATATCTAAGTTCTTCCATATTAAAAAAAAGAAACGTCGTTACTCTCCAAAAATAGTAATGGGTGACATATCGACGGCGTTATTTTGAATGTTACTTTACAACTAGTACAATATACGAGGAGGTTAGGGGATAGAACACCCCCTATGGAAAAATATGGTTAGGTATAGTCTTGCGTTTTCCTAATACTTTTATCGTAATATATAGACTAAAATTTTTCATTCGTTTAATCAATAAAACCTTAATTTTCTATCTTGGAAATATCTTCTTCTATTAAGATGTGTGAAAGAATCTTAAAAACTTATAAAAAATAATAATAGGTATATTTATTTTTTAAATTTTTAATTTTAATAATTTATATATAAAAAATAATTAAAAAACACACTCCCAAAAACGCTTAATTTTTATGAAATTTACGTTTGACCTTTTTTATTTCCAAGTGTGTAATAGCACAAAGAAAAGCAAAAAGATCGGATCGGTTTTTACAGATATCGGCCCGATCCGATATTTTCGGAAAACGCTAAATATCGTTGCCTATCCGATATCTAATATCTACACAGCCTTATTAAAAAATAAGTGGGTCTTATTGCATTTTAATAATTGTTGGTCGTTGTTTAGTAAATAGTATAACGTCACATATCATTAACCGTAAAATTTCCCATTTTTTTATCTATTTATTATATAAAAATGTGTTAATGCAAATTTTAAGAAAAAACTAAACATTAGAAAAAATTACATAGATCATATATTATGTCATAATCATAGTTATCTATATGTTTTTAAGCTGTTAAACTATATTCCTTCTACCTTTTTCCGCATATAAAGTTTAAAATTAATGATACCTTTAAAAATATATATCGCTATCGCATAAGCTTTTGATACTATATTTTAGAAGCCTGTAATCCGCGATCCGAGAAAAAATTTAAAAAATTTGTACGGTCGACTCGATCCGATAATTTCTTTCAAAGATCCTAGTCCGATCCGAAATTTTATTTTAGAACTAGTTACAATTGTATTACTATTCTGATTGGTGAGATGATAAGTATGAATTTTTAAAGTTCCATATGGCTTGTATAAGAGTGTTTTATCCCCGTAAAGAGATTTCTTCAACATAATCTTTATATGTGTGGTATTCAATTTTTTTAATGTTGTTTTTAGAATAAGTAAAAGTAGTCAATAGTGTGAAAATATAATTTGTCACAGCACCTTCAATGCCTTAGCGACGTTTTCCCCTTAGCTATTATGGGGAAAATGGACATATATAGGATGTTAAATTGATCAAAATTAGCCCATTTTCTGCCGACCCCTTTTAAAATTGTTAAAAAACGCTGGAAATATCCGTAAAAAAATAAGAAAGCCGATTATTTTAGCTCCCCTAGCAAATCTGGTTTCCTAGATACAGAGCTGTGAAAAATAACGATCCGCAATTGTATCGAAAAAAAATTTTGTAGCCAATTTGAGTTTTTAACTTTTAGTTTACGTTTATGGCTAGTTTTTAAGAAACTAGGGGAGTTGGGTTTCGAAATTTTTTTTGCCTTTTATTTAGATACCTTTATATGATGTGAAACCCTAGCGACGCTATCGACTCTTCCGGAATATGCATTTTTTTTACTAAAAATTGAAATTTTCACTTTTTATATTAAAATATTTTGAATTTCTATTAAATGTACCAATAAACTGAGGGGCAGTGGGAGCTAAAGCCTCCTTCCCTATCCACGAGTGCATAAAAGCTTGTTTGAAAATATTTCATAAATATAATAGCTTATTTGAGCATTATGCTCCTTCTATACCTAGTTTTTTAAAAATAATTCAGAGTTCCCGTGTATTATCACAAAGTGCATTGCATTCAGTGCACCTATTACATCTCATTAATTTTGTCTTTGTAGTTCAAGATAAAGTAAAAAATTTCACTGGAATATAACGCAAGTTGCAATTCATTCTTTTGTGATATATTATGACATTTAATTATTTAAATCATTTAAGCTACGTAATAATATCGCAATCTATCATTTAGTCCGCTACATAAAAAAGAACAAAGTCGCCCTAAAAATTTTTCTACGTTTCAGATGGAGTAGCTTCACAATATAAGAATCGCTAAAATGTAATCAATTTTTGCTACCATGAAAATAATTTTGGAATAAAAGCTGAGTAGCATTTCTGTGCCATATCTCATGGCAAATCTGCTTGTAATGGAGTCAGAGGTACAGTCAAACGTTTAGTGGCTGTTTACAACGATCTGTTTTAGGAAAATTTGCCCTATTAATATATATATTATAATTTTTTTTATTAAGGAATAAATTTCTCATATATTATGTAAGACAAATGTGAGAAAGAGCAAATAATTCTAGAAGAAGGATTCAATAAAGCGTACAATACCATGAACGCAAAAATTTTATGCTTTTGTTATCAGTCCTTCAACGCCGGACGAATATATACTTTAATAGTGATGTGACAATTAAAACTATTCATTTTTTTAAATTTGCTTAAATACCTAACGAAAGGTGAATCATTTTTATTCCTTTATTTAATGATCGGTGAAGCAGAAATTCTATCTTATGGATGTGAATCATAAATTTACTTTTATTTTGATGAGAGGTGATTCCGAAATTTTCCATTATTTATATAAAATTCCCCCAAAAAATATGAATATTTTTTTATTCTTGTTCACATTTTTATTATCTCTAATTATTATATTAGCGATATTTTTTGAACTCATGAAAACGCCATGATTTTTATGCATAATATATTATTTTACTAGTAAACTATTTTTTAAAAGAATTGAGATGGGTTGGCTGTGAGGTGTAGTGTTGTTAAAGGGCTCTTTTTGAGCCGATTTTTAAAAACGACTAACAATATTTCAACTAGAATAATATTACGCAAGCCAGATTTTGTTTGTAGAAGGAACTAAGGTTTGAACATTTACTAGCGAAATCTTGAGGCTTAGGCAATATTTTTCTGGCTAAAATATTGAGCTAGCCGTTTTTAAAAATCGGCGTTTAACAACACTAGTGAGGTGTGTGATTAGGAATGACCAGTATGTTATTTATAATAAAAAAAAAAATCATCTAATAGGGTTAGAATCCATTCGACTCATATTTATATATCCTTAAATTTTACTTAAGATTTTATATATCTACGCTTAAAAATAGTTAAATGTTTGAAAAAACTTTTCCTTTTTTATTAAATGTTATTAGTAATTAGATTTGTAACGATCAATAAATTTTTCACAGATCCGATTTATCCGATATTTGATATAAATACATAACCGATATTTAAATTGATATTATTTACCTTTGAATAAATGCCATAAAATTAATATTTTTTATTCAAAAATAACCTACAATTTTTTTTTCTCAAAAAATTAATTATCTTATTTAAAATATGGGCAATGCTGATGGCTGAATGTAGTGTTGTTAAACAACTCAAAGGAAAGGAAAGGTTAAATTTAAGTTAAAATATTATTACCCACGCCTCGATTTTGACAGTAGATGTTCAAACCTTTCTACTGTAAGAAAAATCTTCAAGCTTGGATAATTTACTTTGGCTAAAATTATGAGTTAGCCGTTTAAAAACACTAGTTTAGGGAGTCGTTATTTTAAAATGATTTTCTTGTTGCTGTTATAACAAAAAATAATTTTGTAGCTACTATATCTTTTAAAAGATTTTGATTTTTTTAAACATTATACTAATAAATTGGATTTTTTTATAAATTTGTTATTATTATTATGAAATTATGTATAAAATAAAACATACTAAATCACAATATAGTCAAAAACATGATAATATTGGATCGGTTTTTTTGAATCGTCCCGATCTGATATTATTTAAAAATGTTAATTATCGGTCCCGATTCGATATTGAATATTGGCATAGATATTCATAACCATTATATTAATAAACTAAAAATGAAATTATGAATTTTTTAGAGTCAACCCTTAAATATATTATAAAGATTTTATATATAAAATTATTTCACATTTTTAAACTAATTTATTATATTTTTTTATAAATAATCTCAGGTATTTGACTTTAATAGCATTACAAAACCTTTACGACAATTTGCTGGCAATGCATTTAATTTCACCAATTTACGACTCCGATCAAAATAAAACCATACTTTGCTTAATTAGCAAGATGATTTTTAAATGCAGCATAATTCTAAGATCCGAGTTTAAATACAATCAATTTAATGATGCGAATTTGATTGAAAGCCTTCTTGAAGGTTGCGATAAAAGCTTGAAACTCAACCATTCTATTCAAATAAAATACAAGCATATTCATTCATTGGCCCTTAGAAAAATGTAAGGTATATTTTTGTTTGTGGTATCTTTAGCTCTTAGGATATAGACGTTCGAAAAGTCAATTTTTGATTTAGGCATGCTTAGACCTGCTTACCGAGGTAACTATTATCCACTAGCACATTAAAAAAAAATCAATCATTTTGTATTTTTTTTCAAAATTTTATTTTTTTTAAAATATCAAACGCTAATAAAATTAATTAATAATAATTCAGAAATACCTGTACAAAATTTTTATAAATTCAATTTCAATTATCGCCAAAAGATACTATCTTGCCACAATGCATTTTAATGCATCTACTATCTTAAATCATAGTAGAACGTTCGACTAAAAATTTTTCCAAATAATTCTTGAAAGCAAAATTTATCACAAATATTTATATATAAAATTATTTCTAAACTTTTAACTTTGTTTCCGATATAGTTTCGAGCCTTCTCATCTTGTGTCCATACTTTCTTAGTCTGTTTGCCGAGATTTTTATTTTGATGGATACTACCTTTAATCTTAGTATATTTATATTTCTATCTTATCCTTTTTGATTACCCCAGCTATCATCCTTAAAATTCTCATCTCCATTATCTGTAAACTTCTCTCGATTGATTCTTTGCTTGGTCATGTTTCCGATCTATATAGGTAGTTGGCTGTACTATGGAGTATATCTTTCCCTTTAATTGGATTTTTTACCAACTGATAAATTTCTCCACTTCAATCATCCTTGATTTATTTTATTTCTTCTTAAATTTAACTATTGGTTTGTAAAGTAGCCCAAATATTTGCAGCTTTTAATTGCAGGTAGTTGCCATTAATTTATGTCAATGTAATCTGTTTCATATTCACTTATTACAATATATGCTGTTTTTTCCTTGTTGTCTTTAGCCTATAATTTTTTTAAATATATATTTAATTCGCATTTTTCATTTCTTCATTTGTTTCGGCAAGCATTATAATATCATGTGCAAATAATATTCCATGGGGTTGATTCCGAGTTAGTTTGGAACAATTACTGTTATGAACAGAGTAGGCTGATATACCATTGATGAACTTCCTCACTTATTGGAAAGCCTAATGATGTGTTTGTGCTGTAGATTCCGACTACCTTAGCCTGTCGGTGGCCGCGGTAACATTTCTAAGCTCTGTTAATCATTTTTATTTTTTGCATACATATTTGTTCATCCATCATCGAAGAAAATCTTAAAATTAAACAATCCACTCCGGAGTTTGAACATGGCCACATTCGTTTACTAGGCGTGCATCTTTTGCACTAAGCCACCTCGGCGACACTTTTATTAATATTGAGTAAAAAATTTGAAATGTGAGACATTAAAAAAGTGGTATTTAAATTAAAATAAACGCTATTAAGGTTCAAGAAATCCAAATAGTCGCCATTTCAGCGCCAATACTTAGTTACCTCGCCTTTTACGCTAATAACGGATTTATTTTTAAGGTAGAAGTCTAATTAAGGTTCACATCTTTCTTTTGGAAAATTTTCTATAAATAAATATTTAACCTTTTTACAAATCGCATTTGTTTTTGGTCTATGGCATACATATTTTTTTATAAAAGCCTTGATACCTTCTATATTTAAAGCAGTAAAATTTAGCAAAATTCGAGTCTTTTACAATTAAAGACTCATCGGCTAAATGAGAAACCATTCGGGGAAAAAGAAAATATAAATTAACATAAGACATAAAACATTTCATTTTTATTGATTTCAACAAATTATAAATATTCATCGTTTAGTAACCTTTTTTCAGGTTCATCAGGTAATTTCTTTTAAAATCCCAACTTCCACGGTCTTGGGCATTGCCACTGTGAATCTAGCATTTTTATGTCATTATCTACCACTTTTTAAAATTTTAATAATTTATTCGACGTTGTTATAATCTTAGATAGAATTTGAAATTAAATCAGTTTTATTTTACATTTTATTCTTTGCCTTATAATCCCGAGAAGGGAGAAAGTTTAGCCTCAACGATTCGATTAAATAAGCTAGAAACTTAGAGCTAAGTTTAATCTTTTGATTAGATATTGAAAAATCTTGGTAAAGAGTGAGTTATCTATAGGCGTTTGTCTTTTTGCCTCACCTGCTATGCTCCGCTCTCGGATGATTAATTAGTTTTAAATGTCATATCAAAAAATAATTGGAATTTTCACGATACTTTCATCTATCTGTAGAAAGCCAAAGGCCCGCAGATGCACAGGTCTAGACATGCTCAAAATCGTACTATTTTGATAAAAAACTTTAGTTTCGCATTAATTCATTACGAAACTTACCTTTTTAATTATTTTTAAAATTCTCAAATATTTTATCGAAAAGTATAATAATGTAATTTAAAATATTGATAATTTTTTTAAAGAATATTTGAAGTAATAATCAACGTTGCATCTGAATCGAAGAATGGAATGTATTTCGTCACTTATGACAAGCTCTTAGATACAATTATAGACCAGGCATTTTTTATCGCGTATACATGTTTATTTTTATGAATTAACATTTTCGATTGTTAGGCAATTTATATTAGTTGTAATATCAACAACATAATAGGTGTGAGATATAAAATTCCAAAAAAATAAGTATGCATTAGAGATCTGCAAGACAAAATTTTCAGGCCCGACTCTTTTGGAATTTAGTTTTAGCCCGGCTCGTCTAAATATTTACCCGACCCTGTCCCACCCTGCAGGGTTTGACCCAGTATTTTAAAATCTGGAAAAACTCAATAATTATAAGTATTCAGGTTTCATGATTTTCTTGTACCATAAACACAAATTGCAGGAAAAGGAAATCATATCTATCAATGAATGATCTGATCATAGTAGCAGGTCATTTAATTATTAAATATATACAAATTAAAATGTATTATTTTAACAATATTTAATATAAGTCAAGAAAATTTATAACTCATAATTAAATTTAATATATTAGTATTTCTATGTAGCAGTATTATAAAATCAATAAATATATTACTATATTTAAAGATTTTTATGTGAATACGTAAAACCTTTGTTAAAACTGGGTGGCGTTAACATCGATGACGACCATTTAATTTCTCGCAAAGAAGATTTTAATATGTCTTATCTAATTCACGGTGAAGAAAGTTCAATGGATAAATGTGATTCTACTATACATACCCAAAATTCATTTGCAAAAAATCTTTATTTTGGTGAAGTTCAATATAATGTTTTCATCCATTATTTGTTATATGATTGTTATGACTTCTCAAAAAAATTTGATATTGCTCAAAGCAAGTATGATATATTATTATAGTATTTTAAGAATTAAATTATAAACTAACCTTATCCATTTTATAAATATCATTAGCACAATTTAATTTATAATTAATGATTTGCTATATTTTAACAAATGCTATGTTTTAAATTAATAAATGCTACTTTAAAAATAAATTCTATGTTTTAGTTTAATGAAAAATGTTTTAAGGCCATCTCAAAATAAATTTTGATAACTTTTAAAATTTCCAGAGTCTTAAAAAAGTATTTTAAGAGATTCTGACCATAAATATGATTTCATATTCATATTAGTTTTATTTATTACAAATATCCTTATATTTTTATTAAACCATTTTTTACAGATATAATAACTACCCAATACTTTAACCTTTTAATTTTATCCTAAACTTGTCCAAGAAAGGTAAGAAGGTTCTTTGAAAAAGATAATTTGAATGCGACGCCGAAAATATAAAATATAATAAACCATCAAAAATTTGGGTGGGTCAAGGCTAAATTAATATTTGAAAAGGTAAATTTTTTGAATTGTTTGTTTCTAATAACCATTTCAGAGCGTCCCTAAATTTTTCGAGCCAGAACTTACAAATTTATATCAAAAATTTTGAAAAATTTACATAATGATATATTAATTTGAAATAAAGTTAATTTAAATATTATATTGAACTAAAATATGATGGCCCACAGAGTTGTTAAAGTAGCTCTACTTGGTAGCTATAGCTAATAGCGCGTTACTTTTTTCCAGTTATATTATTTTTAGCGCGCTCCTTTTTTTGAAAGTAGCTAAGGAGCGCGCTATTTAGCTACCTTTTAAAAATATAACTATAAAATAAACATTAAAATTTAAATATATTATCATAATTAATAATAATTTTTATAATTTATTATCATAATTATTAATAATTTTTATTATTTAATTTTAAAATTTATATTTTCAATTTTAAATGTATATTATTTTATTTAAAACTTGTAATTAATTTATAATTATATATTTTATAAAATGAAAAATATATATTTAGTATAATTAGTAAACGTTTACGAAAAAAAAACATAATAACAAAAGGACAATATTGAAGCATAGATCATAAAATAATGTAAAATACAAATAATTTATATTTTCAAATTTTAATTTATATTTTCAATTTGTAATTTATATTTTCCATTTGTATTATAAACCTAAATCATCTGGTGTAAATTATTTTGATATTAATGAAATGAAAGGCACCCTAGAAGAAATGTTCTTGATAACATTAATACATATTTTCCATTTCAAAAATTTGAAAATATTTTCAAATTAATGTAAAAACAAAAAGTGCCTATAAATTTAATTGTTCAAACTGTAAAAAAATATATCCTCAAATAAATCTAAGAAACACCTAAAGGTAATTGTCATTTTAAATTCTAATAGTATTTTTATTTTGTAAGAATGTTCATGCCAATTTAATAATTTTGGTATAGGGGATATTCTAAAAAAACCAATTCAATTCAAGCTAAATTTATTAATAATATTTCACATGCTAATATTTCTCAGAAACTGGCTGATAAAGTTATTGGCGATTTTATAATTGATACAGTTCAGCTAATGTCATTGGTACTATGATAATTAAAACTTATCACTGGTACAACAATTTTTTGTCGCCAGACACTAATGATTGAGATAGTAAACAAAGATGCCCTAGTTAGAACCATAAAAACTGATAATTTTTTTGAAATAAAGGATACTAATATAATAGAAAATCCCCTAGACGCGTTCTTTAAATCTGAAAATACAAATGAGTATTTTTGATAATTTTTCTTATAATAAAAATATGTCTATAAAATTAATTATTACCTTGCCCTCAAGTACTAGTGTTGAGAGATTATTTAGTAAGGCGAAACTTATACTTTCTGATCATCGCTTTAGACTTAGGGTTGATAGTATACTATTATTCAAATGCTTATAATGATATTGCCATAAATTTATATTTTTGAAACTTAATCATTCTATTCAAATAAAATACAAACATATTCATTCATTGGCCCTTAAAAAAATATAAGGTATATTTTTGTTTGTGGTATCGTTAGCTTTTAGGATATAGACGTGCTAAAAGTCAATTTTTGATTTAGACCTGCTCGACTATAGTCTTTTTACATAAATTTTTTATAAGCAAAAATAACTATATTTAAATATTTTTAAATGTTGATTTTTATATATTAAATACTATGCAAAGCAAAAACTTTATTTGATAAATAGCCATAGCGGTAGCGCGTTTCTTTTAAAAGTAGGTTTTAACAACTCTGATGGCCCAGAATGGGGTATAGATAGAAAACGAGGGCGGGGGGGGGATCGATTAATTATGGTAATTGGATGTGTGAGATACATTCAGATGATTTTCGAGAGCCATGTCAATATAGTGGTTAAAAGTTTCCACTAACCAATCTTCATATGTCCTGCTGACTATCAAGTCTTGGTGGTCTATTAATGTTGACGCTCGGATCCAGTTTATTACATCTTGTTCTATTGGTAAGTCATCATGTGATAGATTAAACCATGGGTCCATTCTCTGCTCCTGTCATATTCTCGTTGAAATCCACTTGTTGAAATCCAGGTTATATTCCTTGCCAGTTGGACATAATTCTTGAATTCTAAAGCAGCAATTATTATTTCTTTTAGAATATGTTCGTAACTGAAGGAACGTGTTGCTCCCTTTTTGATAATGTAGGCTACTTAACTGTCTGTGACAATGCTGGGAAGTTCCTTATATCTGTTTTTTGTGTCATGCTTCTGCCCACATTGCTAGCATTTCCATGTGCTAAATATGTAAGGAATTCACCTCGAGGATGGTAAGGCAATCTTCAAAGGTAATTGAGAATTTATTCCGCCATGTCTATATGATTGTTTGAGGCGCCGATATGGATTATGTCATTCTTGGATGGTCTACTGCTTTCAGGTGCACTTTTAGATAGCCGGTGTGGGGATATCGAATAGGTGCAGCATGATGTTATTAAGGCGAGAAAATTTTAGATAATTATTATATAGTTTACATATAGTTAAGGGTCCATAATCCTTCCAAGATAAAATCTTTTTCATTTTGCATGTCTTTATTGAGAGCTTATTAGTTCAGCTGGCTGTAGCATGGCTTTGTTTTCTCAGTCTATTGCGGCTGTCTGTGAAGTCACTGTAAATTTACCGGAGATTTGGGCTGTGATTGTGTTATAAACTTGTTGGTTTATTGCCAGACCCTAATGCGTCTTCTAAATTTATTAACTATTGTGTCTTCCACTAATGCATCCGCTTCTCTGTGGTATAATTATATCATCTAGATACTCATTAAAATTGGCCTTTTTAACTGATTTGACGCAGAGGTCTAAACGATATCTTGCAAGGCGTAAAACAAAAGCGGGTTCCCATTTACTGTTTTGCATCTATAGTTGCTGTTTTCCATTGTAAGGCTGAATCTTCTGCTTTTTTCGAGTGTAATAGTAAAAGTCAGATTTCTGGTAGATTTTAGTTGTTTGGGTGTCTGATAGTCACGGGGCTATCATTGGTATGATATAAAATTTTGGTAACTCGAAAGAGGTCTATTATAAAACTGTTATTTATCATAAAAATAAATCATAATATACACGATATTTTCATTTGATTTTACAATTTTCTCAAGGAGATTTTATTTACAATAAATAAACAGAATCTGTTTGAATTCATTATATTATATTAAAATTATTTGAGTAATTTAATTTACAAAAAATATAAAAAATTACTTAAATTAAATTGTAAAGCTGCATATAAAATTTTAAACAATATTATTATAAAATTAAATTTTTAATATGATTAGAAAAAAACAGCATTTTAATAATAAATATAGCATTTCAATTAAAAATTTAGAAATAAAATTTTAAATTAATTAAAATATACAGCGTATATGATTTGTTCCCTTTTTTATTTTACAATTTAAAAGAGATATATTTTTATACTGCCATCTATTATACTTTTGTTATATTTTTTTAAATGAAGCATCACCACTTTTTTGGCCAATATTATATATCAAAATGTAGACGTTAGTACTTCGAAAGCCACGAATAATTTTAATATCAAAGTAAATTTTTAAATAATTTATTATGTTTATAGATTTTAAATTAATTTTATTTTTGCTCGTTTTTAAATTATCGACGTTTCAAAAATAATACAATCAGTGTTAAAGGGAAAAGTTACAAATAACGTTACTTTACTTGTAGTAAAGCCTTGTTGCGATTCGAGGCTTAAATGTATTCGGCGACCTTTACAAACCCTCAATTTATCTAACCTTGCTCACCCTCCTTATATTTGATTTTTTTTAGCTCGCCACAACTGCACATTCTCGCTTAATATGGGCGGGATAATAATCTGCCTGTTGCTGATCTCTAATAATACTTCATAAAATGAAAGGAAAATTTCTGGTCCACTCGTTTAAATAAATAGGAAATTTAAGAATAACCCGCTATTCTTTGACAGGCAATCAGCTAGTTATGCTTATTTAAATTTTATTATTATTTAAATATAATATAATATTATAAAATTGTGAAATTTAATGTGCTTGCCGTGCACCGCGATATAAAAATCACTCATTTTGGGGGGAGGGGGTGTACGAAAATCCCGGCTGGCCGGCCGGCATACAGAACTACTTTTAAATATTTTAATTTAATTAAGATTTTATTTTCGTTTGATATGAAATAAATATCACCTTTTAAATTATAATTTTTTGCCTTCTCTGAAAACTTATAAGGTCACAGAAGTGAGAAAGGCATAAAGAAATAAATAAAGAAAACAGAAAAATTAAGAATTTTTTAAAACTTTGTCCAAAATATCACAAAATTAATTCGTAAATTTTCAAAACTAATGAATATAAATAAATAAGCATTTTAAATATAAAAATGAAAACATGTCCAAAACTTAATTCTAGAAAATTTAAGAATTTAACAAACGATTTCATTAAAATTTGCGATTTTTTTTAAAATGGTTTTGGGCACAGCCTAATGAAAAAATTTATAGAAATAATTTTATTTTAAAAGAAATAGAAAATAATAATTTTTTTTGTAAATATATTTTTAAATTTTAATATGATTTTTAGGACTTGAATTTTTCTCAAAATTAATGTCAAAGAATAATACCTTAAATTTTTTTTTTAAAAAAGCATCCAAACCCACCCTTAAATTAATTAAATTATACTGCAGTTCTCTGGCATAGGCTCTTGTTTTTGACCTTTAAATGAATTTGATTTGTATTTAAACAATAATTTTCGGAAAAACTATTTAAGGAAATTTCTTTATGTTATTCAAAATATTCGGCAATTTATTCATTTTATGAACTGACAAGTACGCAATGTGACGAGAGGAATGTATCTTTAAAACTGTTTGAAGGTTTGTTAAATTATTATATTTATATTACAATTTTGTATTTAAAAGATATATCATGCAATTTATTTAAATTTATTGAAACTAACCAAAATTTTTATGAGATGAATGAAAATTTTGAAGACGATCTACCCGGTATAATAGTATATATTCTCTAAGCATATTATTTCCCAGTTGGTACAGAACATTGGTCTAATACATATTATCGATGTTTAGCTCTTATTAATTTTTTCAATTTTTTGGAAAAATTAGTTTTGGGTGTCATAAATGATATAAATATGTACACTAACATGCCAATTAATGTAAGCTATGAGTTTTTATAATTTAATATATATACAAATTTATTTTTTCAGCCACCACAGTCTGTGATCCAATTTTATAAATCGAATGAATCCCTTTACGATTCATGGTTTATAAAGATTAAATTTATAATAATAAAATTTTGTAATTTGATGGGACTTAATCATTTATGCATGCAGCAATCTTTAGAATATTTAACGCAAATTTTCCAACCTCGCCCAGAGTTTTGGAATTTAGAAGCTTTATCCCCAAAAACTATAACCACTTTAATCAACAAACTTAAGCCTAATCATAGTCTAAAAGTATGTATAAATATATATATATATATATAGTTTGACAATGAGCATTGGGAGAACTCTTATGTTTATAAAAGAATTTAGTTTTTTGAATTTGAACACGACATCTGAAAAATGTTTTATTACCAATAGTATACAGAAATATAATGCAAAAGCCTTGCACGGGCTCGAGTAGTTATAACTAAGAAAGGATAAAATTATTGATTTTAGATCAAGCATTAAATTTTTTAAAAATTTAGTTTGATTTTAGATCAAGCATTAAATTTTTTAAAAATTTAGTTTGATTTAGTGTAAATTCAAGGAAGATTTTTTAAAATTTTTCCTCCTGAAAATATTGATCAGACAGATCAAAATATAAAAAATAATTGAAAGTGCTATCGGAAGATTTTAAACCAAATTATGATCAAAATTCAAAAGTTTTTGATCTTCTGATACTTAAAATCTATAGGTATATATTTATACCCCGATCTAAATTGGGCTACCACTTTCCATAAAAATTGTCAATGCTATAAAATCGATTTTTTTTTATTATTATATTTTTATTATCGACCATATATTTTATGGTCATCTTTAATATTTTGTATAGTTAAGTATTTTTTTGAAGCTATAATTATGAGTTCAAGAGATATGAGGGTTCAAAGTTTAAAAATGACCTCTTTAATATATATGCATAACGAATTTAAATAACATTTAAGAATTTAAATGGTAGATGAGATATTCCCATGGAGTTCTTTATTTAAAAAATAATCTTAGTGTTTTTCTTTTTACGGAAAAGTTAATGTGAATTTTTTTTAATACGGGGTTTAAAAATGTTTCGCCGAAATATGTTCATGAAAGTTTTAAATGCAAATTTAAATTTTAACATAAAAATAACGTTGATTTTTTTTATGAATGCGTTCGCGAACGAAGTCCGTTTTTTTGAAAAAAATGGTGAACGGCGTTCCTTTTATTTTTGACGAACTTTGAAGGTGAACGCGTTCCTTTTTTTATGACGAACGCGTTCGAATTTGATTTTCTTTCAATTTTAAAAACACCTTTTATTTTTATTTATTTTAAAAATTTAATATTAAAACAAATTTTAAAAAAAAGTCTTATATTTTATAATCAACTGTTTTACACTTTTTACATTTCAATTTTTTCACCATTATTATAGTTAATTAATTTGAATATTATTGTTTATATTTTAATTTAATAGATTAGCATAAGCATTGATATTATTATTTCATCATCATTATCTGATTCTGAAAATTCAAAATCAAATGAATTAACATTACTATGACCCAAATATGATATATATTTTACAGTAACATCATATATTGATGGAACTATAAGTATTATATCAGTTTCAAAATTTTTAAGTTCCAATTTAAAACGAAATTTGATTGTAATATAAATTATTTTATTTTATATAATATAACTAAGAAATCATAAATTTGATGAAAAAATGCATTTAGGTTATTTGACCCCAACAATAACGATAATTATTTTAAAATTAGAAAAAATTAGTGTCCTTAATTATGGTCAACTATTTATAGACGCATTATTAAATGGGATTTATAAAAAGTATTAAACCTATCACTATCAAATTAATTACATATATTTTATTTTTTAAAGATTTGAACATATATACGAAGATCAATATGTTCTTTCTGCAATTATATATCCAATATTCAAGCTTCAAGGGCCATGGATAAAACTTCCACAGAACTAACCTATAAAAATAAACTTATAGTGTTATTGAAAAAATGCATTGAAAACCCTAGAAATGATAATGCAAGAACTGTTAATTTTGAGATATCCTTTTTTTTGACGAGTATGTAAAGGATGATTGGAGGAAGATAACTTATCTCAATTTTTTGAAGCAAAAGACAACAAATGTTTTTAATAAATTCCTCACGTTAAAAGAATTGTTTATTAAGTACAATATTGCAATCCCCTCATTTCCCCTCTAGAGCGCGTTTTTAGTATAGCTAATGCCGTATTAACTGCCAAGTGTTCCTGCCTATCAGATAAAAATTTTGAAAAACAATTGTTATTAAATTTTTTATAAATTTGCCATATAAATAACGTTGAGAAATTATTATTTAAACCAGCAGCAAATATGTAGATTGATTTTGTTTATTCCATAAATTTTTGCACTTTTTAATGTATTTTAAAAGATAAATTTTTCGAATTATTTTTCAGCATCAACATTTGCCACTATACGAAGATTGTGGCAAGCACAAGAAGGATGTTCGGGCAGATAAATAAAGTTTTCTTGATTTTCAAATACATCATTTAATGATAATGGTACAAATTCATCTTCCTCATCTTCAGATAATTTCTCAAATAATCTATAATTTTTTTTAAAAATAAATATAAAAATTAAATATAGACTACTTATTTATATAAAGGCTTTTGAAAATTTCTTGCATCATCGGTGACAAATAAGGTTACCTTATGTATTTTAAATTTCTTGAGAAGGTTTGAATTTGTTTCTGCTAAATGATTAATAGAATGTTTGCTAGTTAGCCGTTGACAAGCTAAAGATACCGATTTTCTTTCTAAAGTGACTTCATCCAACTAGTGGGCAATCATGCCTAAAAAGGAACTAATAATATTTTTAACAAATTATAGACTCAAAGTATTATGTAAAAAATACCGATGGTATGATGACCATGAATCTGCCGTGATACAAAGAATTGCAGCATGATGTTGTAATCTTTAGATATTTTTGATACAAGGGTTGGGCGTGACATAACCATTTTAATTGGTTGTAAAGTGGTTATCATATTTAAAAAGGCAGGTTTTTTGACTATATTAAATGGCTGCAGTTATTCTAGTACAAAATTTAAAATTGCATCATCTACCTGTGATTGATCACATTTGATCAATTTTTTTTTCATATTAAAAAGAGTTTATTGTTTAAATTTATCAGCTTTTAATTTTTATTATTATCACTATAATTTAAATATTCATTTATTTCTTGTAGCATACCATCGTGAGAACTCTGTAAAATTAAAGGTAGTTTTTGATAAATTATGCTACAAATGTTAATATTTTATTAAAGGGGTAACAGCAAAGCAATGACATAAAATAATTTATCTAAAATTAAAATTTATTAAATAACAAACATTTTAATATATTACCATAATTTTTATTCATTCCATTAAAATATTATATTTAAATTTTTTAAATAAAATCTTAATCTGTTGTCTTGTTTACAATAGTAATTATTATTATTCAATAATATTTTTGTATTTAAAGAGAAGTTGTTTGGAGAATAGAATAATATTTCTTAAAATATTAAAAATAAAATTTGGTATTTATTCTATCTTCAGTTTTAGAATAATAATTAAAAATGATTTTTTAAGAAATATGTCATAGTATTTCATATAAGTAAATGTTGAGGAACTATTAAATATACACATCCTTAAATTAAAAAAATATCAGGAAAGCATATCTAATAATCAAGATACAGAAAAAAGTGGAGGTAGAATAATATAATTCTCAGGCGGCGATTTGTTAACAGAAAAAAAAAATTCCATTAAAGGTAAAAGCAATATTTGAAACAAATGTTGAAAATGGACAAAAAAAATGTAAATAGATGCAGAGAATGATAATTTATTAAATGTAGACGTAGAACTTTATATTTAGCTCTTTAGTCAGAACCTCTAGAAGAAGAATGTTTCCAATGGATAGAAATTAAAAATGTTCCCAAGTAGTCAAAAATAAAATCAGATAGTTGAATATGCAAAATCTGCTCTTTACCAAAAATGGATCTTATTTCTCTTATATTCCAAACCTTAAAAAATTAACTGCTATTGTAGCAAGCTTTATTTTGTTGAAAGAATCTTATTATTTGAGAGTTATATGAATTTGATCTAATAAAGAAATAATTGGAATTATTCATTATTTTAACAAATTTTTCACATCCAGATATAATAGTTTTCATCCTTGAGAATTTCATATAAAACCTACATTTATCTCAAAAAATCATTTGAATGCTTTTATAAGACCTTCATAAATACTCTTTTAAACAAAGACCTCCTATCATAGATTTGAATCAAATATGGGGCCAATCTGATTGCATCATAATAGATCTGTGGTGGTATCCACCTAATTGCAATTGACTAAAAGATTAGCAAAAATAATTGCCATGGGTCAAAATCTAGGGTCTTAACTTATTAGGTATACATAGCAATTAGGATTCAGTGTTATGGAAGAAGTCAAAATAGCTTGCCATTCATATACCAGAATCCTCTTCCTAACGTGAATATTATCAGGTATACTTTAAAAATGCTTTTAATATCAAATTTTGAAAACATTTAATTACTCTTAAATTCATAGAGACATATTGTGACATTAAAATTCTCCTTTATACAGCCCATCCTCTCAACCAGTGTTGTTAAACGCTACTTTTAAAAGTAGCGTGCTACCGCTATCGTTTTCAAATGAGTAGCGCGCTATTAGCTACTTTTTATGCTATTTGGATTTTTTTTAAAATATTTTTTACGTAACTTTATTTCCACAAATAAAATATTGGTATAAAAACATGACTATAATTTGTTACATATATATAAATATATAATTTATTTATTATTGAACTTTAATAATAATAACAGTTCAGTACTATCATCCCCAAATCTAGAGCGATGATCAGAAAGTATAAGCTTTGCCATACTAAATAATCGTTCAGCACTAGCACTTGAGCGCAACGCAGTATTAAATTTAATAAACACTTTTTATATGAAAAAAATCATAAAAATATTTAAATGAGTATTTTTAGATTTAAAAAAAGCATCTAGAGATTCAATAATATTATTATTATTTATTTCAAAAAAATCGTCTATGGAAGGCCGCGGTTTCGATCTTGCTATAGTATTAGTATCGTGGTTAGGCATGACATTTTTTAGCGTTACCATCAGCCTATCAAGTTTCCCTTTAGATTCAGTCAAATTAATGTATGGCCAATTTAATTTGAAACTAGGATGAACGATAGCAGCTATTACATTTTCATCATCATA